ACCGGCGATTACCTGTAACTGGTAACTATCCCGATTATTACTCTCGTCGAGATCCCGAGGATCGCATAAGATTCCTCATGCCCGAGTGGTTTTCCAACGGTGATATAGCCGATTACGGTTGTCATAACGGAACCCTTACTTTCCGCATCCTTGAGAAATTCCCTGATATACACAAGATTGATGCCTTTGATTGTGATCCAGAACTCATTGAAAATGCCAAGAGTATGCAGCGGGAGAGGATCAGATGGGGTGCTCAGACCAACACAAAATACGACAAAATCAACTTCCAGGTTGCCAACTGGAGCGAATGCACGTCATTCGACGACGAGCCCACATACAACACGATCCTAGCTTTCAGCGTAACTAAATGGATTCATCTAAATTATGGCGACGCTGGCCTAATGCGCTTTTTCCGACGTGTCTTTAACCTTCTGAGGCCAGGTGGACACCTACTGCTTGAACCACAGCCTAAATCATCATATAAGAAGACCCGATTTACTGTAAGTTAGCCTTTAAGTCTGAAATTTTTCTAGGCTAAACAACAGGAGAATTATAAAGGTATGACTATCGATCCGTCAAACCTGGAACCTTTATTGCTGGACGTCGGCTTTTCATATTTCGACAAAATCAAAGTTCCTCGTCCAAACGAAGCCTTTCAAAGGAATATAATTTTATGCTCCAAGTCCTATGGTGTGACGCCGTCTTCCATCCGCAACGATTGCCGAAGTGAGACGCAGATGTGGCGAGGTTCCCCTTCGTCGGATGGCTTGCCCCCTCTAGGTCCACCTCCCGTCAATTATTGCCCTCAAACGCCCAGTTACACGTCCCTCGTTTCCCCCAGGTCGTCTGTACGTTTCCCTACCCCAGAACCATCTACTGCAACTCCGGATAGTCTTCATTTCGAGGCAATCTCAAGTACTGTATCGACGGTTGAAGCCAACAGTAGAGTTCCAATAGATGCATCCCCACTTCTATCTATTGTGGATAACTCGGGCGTCACTGTATCCGTCCCAGATTCTACTTCTGAGCAGTAAACTTGTTCACCTGTGTACATATGTCACATATTGTATAATTACTATCCCTATTATCTAATATTTATCAATTTTACATGCCTTCGAATTCAACTTTTGTATACTAGCTGACTGTCTTGATCAACGATCCCTTGACTGTAGTTGGGTTTATAGCCGGATAATATGTGCGTGCTGTCGGTCTCATTGAACACCTTACCGCTTCACTTGATCTGCAGATGACACACGTCGCAGCCATATCAAGGTTAATTTTGGGGCTTCCCTTAGCCTCGTTTCATTTTTTTGAAACAGAAAATAATCGCTCAACCTATGCCACCGGACGCGAATTTGTCTTTGGATTCTATCGACTGACTCACGGCGTCAGGGGAAGTTAACAACCGTTGGGTGTTTTATCTCGAAGCGTCTGTGTCCGCATTCGACGTCCAGGGAGTTGGACGTTACACGTAATCTGTAGATTTGAGGGGAAAGTGTCTTCGGTGAAATTTTGAGTAGTAGTCCTGAGAA